GTGGCTTCCCGCCTTGCTTGGGGTGAAACGCTTAAAAAAAAAAAAAAATTAAACTAGCATTTTTTTAGATCACAATTGTGGACAGTCTCGTCACGGTGAGCAACTAATGTACTTGAAGTGTTGTTTTATAAGATATACATTTTGTATAATCTTTCTACCCACTGAGTCTATCACAACTACAACTGTAAAGAATGTATTTAAACTCGTCATAAAATTTGTCACAACTACGTCTAAAGCAATAAAGGAATTAATTAATACAAAACAAAGCAATAAGCCAAAACTTGAAGGAGAAATTTACTCTGTTAACTGTAATGATTACCACAAAGAATACATAGAGGAAACCTCAAGAAATATAAATAAAAGATTATATATATATATATATATATATATATATATAATATATATATATATATATATATATATATATATATATTTTCGGCGTTCATCGAACAAAGTTTGTTCACGTTGATGCAACTATTCATGGGGCCCGAATGAGAGGCGCTGGTAATTTTAAATTTAAAAATAATTTTATATATATATATATATATATATATATATATATAGCGGCTTGGATTAAGGAATCGGAGAGCTGAGTTCGAATTCCAGTCGAATCCATTGCATTCACTTATGTGCTAATACCCTTGGTAAAGGTGTGAATCCTCCTCTTCTCCTTCCAGCTATGAGTAAATAGCAGCACAGCCTGGCTTCTATAGCCTTCGATGGCAACTGGTCTAGAAGGTCAACTCTGAATTCAAACCCGGAGTTGAGCCCCTGAGGGGGATGGACGGTACTTTGTGCTACTTTCCGACAACTCCTGCAGCCGCGCTGGTACCAAACTGTATTGGTTTATCCTCTCCTTTGGACTCTGATAGCAAGGCCGAGAGGGAGAACTAGACGTCTGGGCAGCCCTAGTTCTCCATATATTCCGCCCAGACTCGAGACGGGCGGATGCCGACGACGACGATACATATATATATATATATATATATATATATATATGTGTGTGTGTGTGTGTGTGTGTGTGTGTGTATCGGAAATGTTACTTGACTTGCTGTCACCCTACAAATGTTAAAATATATAGATTTAGTTCTTTAACTTCAGTAAAACTAGGAAAATTTACCAAGAAGGTGAAAAAAGAGAATGATTTCGAGAACAGCTGCAAAATGTTAACTCTAAGACTTCATTCTTATGACAGTCTATCCAGTTTCACTCCCAAGACTTGTGCTTATAAATCCACTTTCTTTCTAAATCATACTAGGTCGCCGATATTCTTAGAACAGGTCTATGACAAACACATGAAAAAAGCCGGAGGGTACAACAATCGGAACATTGAAACTCTAACAACTAAGGATACTAGTCTGATTAAATCAATTTATAATTACAGTCGATGTTTATCATAATTTTCTAAGCCGAATACATTGTAATGGTTAAAATCCGTACCACGACGTAAGAAAAGAAAGTAGCTTTTGACTAAAACTTGAAATCACGATTCGTTATTTAATTAAAGCTGAATAGATTGCAACGGTTAATTCCCGGACTGTGACGTAAGAAAAAATGTAGCTTTCGACGAAACTTGAAATCGTATCCCAGAATTCTTTTTCCATTTAATCGAACTACTATTACTGCATTTGCATCTCACTTCCAAATTATCAGATAGTTGCCTCAAGGTATCAATTATCCGCGCTATGGTTTTTTTCAGACACTTCTTAACGCTGCAGTATGCTGGGATCCTTTGCCCAAGAAAAGGCCTTTTCGATATCGCATGTGTACTTTTCAATTTAAATTTGTCGTTCATTTTTCATACAGTTCTATAAAGAAAAACTCCTGGGAACTTCGATGTGGTCTAATGGTCAGCGATCTTCTCTTTCTAGATCCATTACGACTGAGTAGTGAGTTCGATTCTCATTGGGTGCTCCACACTTTCGACCATGTGCTACATAGAAGTTATGCATAGTAAATCGCGTAGCTTTTCTTGCTAGATCAATTACGACTAAATATTGAGATCAATTCCCACCTTCTGCCCTATTTAACTTTAATAAACCACTATAAAGAAAAACACCTGAAGGTAGATACCTATAGAGATGCATGTTCGAATCCTGCCAGAGAGCGTAATTTTGTCTTTAATAAGATGTTTCGAATATTCAGGCCTGCAGACGAAAATAAATATACTGTTTAATAAATAAACGGGACGTCTACTTAATTACGAGTGATACTAAATATAAAGTTTAAAGCGATTAATAAAAATAAAATCCATTATTTTCTTTAAAACCCGCTTTTTTTACGAAACTGCAGATATGCAAATTTCTAGAGGTCTATGACGCGGGTAGTTTTTTGCTTAAAGATATAATTCTGGCTTTGCCTGAATAATTGGTTCTTTTCAGCTTAGTTGGTAAGATTTTATCTGATACATATTATTTGAGAAAAAATTATGAAATACTATGTGTGAAGATACGGAAAAATCCTCCCGCATCTTACCAAACCTAACTCAATAAAACTCAAAAACTAATTTGAACCTTAGTCTCACGTTCAGAAAGCTAACAGTCTTAGTGTTTCTCAACCTTCGTAAGCAACTGCACACCTAGAAGAAAAGGAAAAAATATAATAGCACACATAGCAAAATTTTTAAAAGGTATATGTTTTTTTTTTCTTTTTTTTTTAAGGCAATTCACACCAAGCAACGCGGGAGTGACACTAACACGCAAGGGGTTACAGAGGATTGAGAACAAGATTAAAGAGACGTGTTTGAAAAAAGATTACAGAGAAGGACGGGGAACAAGCCCATGGTGCCAGATATCGATTGACATTACATTTGAATATTTGAAGATTATAGTTATCGGGGAAGCAAGTAAGGGGAAAGAAGTTCCACTGACGGGAAGTGCGGAGAAGAAGCTGTTTGAGAAGAAGATATGGTTACATTTAACCGTTTTGACAGTGGAAGGGTGGGAGCGAGATTCCAGCCTTGTATCTTGCTTAAATTCATGTAGTCCGGGAACCAGCGAAAGTAGGTAGTCGGAACAGTTGCTGTGAAAATACTTGTAGAAGAGACAGAGGGAGGCTACGGCACGTCTGTGGGATAGCGATTGTAGACTAAATGACAGATCAGGACTTATCATCTTGCATATTCGTCTCTGGATTTTGTCGAGGACCTCGAGACGTACAACAGGAGTACAAGACCTTATATGACAGCAGTATTCTATACAAGGACGAATGATTGATTTATGGATTTGAAAAATGGACTCAGACGAGAAAAACTCTCTGGCACGACACAGAGAACAAACGTTCGTTTAAATGTTATGAAATAAAACCATATTTTTGTAAAATACACGCACAAATACGAACTTACTTTATTTTAACGTTTCTATCCAACTATTTGTTCAGGTTATTTCGTGTGAAACCTGTGCATGGTGTTTTTTTTTTTTGTTGTTTTTGTTTTTGTTTTGTTTTGGTTTTTTTTTCGCGATTTCTTCAATGTTTGGTCGAATGTGCTATAAGCAGACCACTATTTCTTCTTCAAGTGAGCGTAGTCATTCTCGCTTCTTATTTTTGATGTTATTTAGGGTTGATAAGCCTAATTCACATAAATAAGAGGTAGAAAATTGCGACAAAACTGATATAGCCTTTTTAGCTAATGTGGGATATCCCTTTTTGATTGAAATCCAAAATATATCAATGGTTACTCTCGAATGTTTTTGGAGCCCTTAAAAATATGACCACTTTTAATAAAATGAATATTAAAACGATGAATTTTAAAATAACATAATCGACGAATAGTGAAAAGAATCATTTGAAAAGAAAATTTAATACTTATTCATTTATTCCAATATTAATGATATACCAATACTATTTCCACACGCAAACATACACAGAGTGCGATGGATAAATTGTCGCCTAAATTACGCAAGAATGAAAATAACACTGACATCTCATTGTAACAGATATATTTATCAAAATGACACAAAAATATCTTGAAATACTAAAGAGTAAATTTATTCAATCCTGAGGACTTCTGAATTTCCTGCAACTCTTCGGGATGGTCTCCTTGTTTACTGCCATAACCCTCGCCTTCAGTTCATCTTTGATGTTACAAGGAGTTTTGTTGGTCTCTCGCTCAACTGCGCCCCGCACATAATAATCAAGGGAGTTGCAGTCTGGGGAGTTCTGTGGTCAGATGTAAGGGGCGATGTGGTCGCAGAATTTGTCTGACAGCTATAACGGGATTCTCCTGCTTGTGTGATATTGTGCAGAGTCCTGTCGCCAAACAACGCGCATGCGCGAAATTAAAAAATAAAAGGGTGACAATTTACCCATCGCACTCTGCATGTATGCCGTGACATTATTTTGCGGCGCACTAAAGAGAATAAGCGCGGCACACTTGTGTATGCCGAGGCACGGCAGTCGAGAACCGCTGGTTTAACCACTTGGCTAAAGAAAAAAAGTGTTAATTAAATAACAAAGAATGCTTTCGAGGAAATTTTATTTGTCAGTCTCATTCCGCATATGCCTCCTTGAAATTCTTTTCCTTTCTTTTACATGTCGGCAACTGTTTTATCTTATTACTTGCAATTCATCACCTTACTCTTTCGTATTCGTTTACTTCCTATCACCTTCCTCTCCTCTTGCCTCTCCACTTGTCTTACTCTCCTTTCTCATTCTTCAACCTGTTCTCTACTCTCACCGTCTCTTAAAACAACCCACTCTCCCTTATTTACAGACCTATACCATTATCACTTAATTTCGTCCTCCTCCCCGCATTGCATGTAATTTTTCTTGATGCCTCGTCCTGTCCTGTCCAGCAAGCACGTCTGACAAGGACAAGTGCCGGAGGTTTCTTCCGGAAGACCTGACATTGGCTGACATCTTTTTACCAGTGGCGCGTCATCATCCAATTGGCCCAGCACACAGCTGTCAGCAAAATATCAGTGACAGAGACAACGAAAACACTGACGACGGAGCAAGCAAAACTGTGCGCGCATATTTAAACAAGAGGTACCGATCGAAATATGGTCAAACGTCAAACTGGGAGACCGGCAGAGAGTTCGTATGTTTCGAACGTACCCGGTGAAGCCGGGGAGCCGACATTTTTGCCAGCAACGAACACATTAACTTCGGAATCGTCACTTTCATCTCCTCTGTTTCCTGTCTCGTCTATATTGATATCTACCGTATCGACACCACTTGTCCTCTCCCTGCCAGATTCGCATCGGCGGGCGGAACAAAGACAGACGATTTTAACCGACAATAAAAACAAGCCTCATAACAACAACTGCCCGAACAAGCATAACAACAATATAAACGATATATTTAGGACGAATATCCTTATAGACAACAACCGCTGCAGCAACGACCGTGTAAGACAGTTACTGTTGAGTGACTTGGAGACTGCTCAAAGTGATAACGAAAGGGACACAAGGGATTTCGCTTCCCTGGGTGCGACCACGGTTCCTTTTGGATACAGCGACAATATGACGCTTTACCATAGAAACCCGAAAATGCAAGCTTCGCGAAAATCTCTTCCAATGAGAACAAGCGAGCGAAAAAAGAAATCGAATTTTCAAAAGTAAGCTATTTTTTTTATTTGTTTCTTTTTAATCGCTTTCATTTTAACCAATCTTTAAATTTTACTGAAGCATTTTTCCTTTGCTGGGTGTGTATTTATTTACATTTTGTCTCGGAATATCTTAATTTACATATGTCAAGATCTTTAAATCATGGTTCGAACTTTATTCGTTTTTTGTTTTTTTGTTTTTTGTTTTTTTTTCCATGACTAATACGAATGAATTAAAATAGCATGACTCGTCTAAGAGCTTTTATGGACCTAGAAAAAAGGAGTTTGCAAGCAGAAAATTTCCTTTTGAAAGAATACCGTAACATAACTTTTCGAAATACGCTTTCACCTCGTGGTCTGAACAGGATTATATTTGCAACGGTTAGAATTTTACTGACATTTATTGTTTATATTTTCACTTTATTTATCAGCATTACATAAGGGTATTATAATGTGTATATAATTTGTATATATATTACTATATGTATTTTATATATATATGCATACGTATATTATAATATGCATGAATCTCATATATATATATATATATATATATATATATAATATTTGCATATACGGATATTGTAATTTGAATATATATATATATATATATATATATATATATATATATATATATATATATATTATATTTGCATATATGTATATTTTAATTAACATATTTTAATTTATATATTAGATATATATAATATATTATAATTTGTTGATGTTTTAAAATATATAAATCAACATAAATTTTAGATATACATATATTATATTTGCGTATATAAATGTTATGATTTTATATATATATATATATATGTATATATATATGTGTATATATATATATAATTTGCATACATTTTACATGTTTACAGGTTAAATGTACGTAATGTATAATATGTATAAAATAAATGCATATTGTAATATCCATATATGCAAATAATATATATATATATATATATATATATATATATATATATATATACTTTGTTTTTTTGACATATTGTATCTAGTTATTTTTTTTATATTGAGCCTTTCAAGAATCAATATAAGATAAACAAACACGATATGTCTATATTATTCAACAAAACATTTTTAAATGAAAATATGATGCCTAAATATATATTATATTATATTATATTGTATTTGCATATGTAGGTATTATAATTTTCATTTATATATATATATATATATATATATATATATATTATAAATATATATTTAAATATATATATATATATAATTTGCATAAATGAATATTATAATTTGCAAATATTTTGTCTATATATATTATATTTTGCATACATCTTATTCTTTAACTATGGGTTTAAAGTTCTTTATTTTACACTGAATTAATAAGGGTGAATGAAAATTGCTACCGTCCGTCGCCTGGATGAAATACTTGCTTAGATACTCCCGGTGTCAGAGGTCGATGTTCAAGTCCAGCGAAAAGGATTTTGTATGGTGATTTTATTATTCTTTGTCAGTCTACTTAGATCATAAATATATCTTTTTGGGAGTGTGGTTCCTTCATTTGGCTTTCCATTTCGTACCATGTGACAAAGGTGGAAGCATAGTAATTGAGCACATACCGAGAAACTAGATGACAACTTTACTAGCAGATAATAAACCTATGAAAAAAAAAATAACAATAAACGACGATACTAATCGCTCCGTCCACTCGTCAGGTTAGTGGCATGTAGCTATGCCATCATCTGTTTCGCATCAATCACAGGCGAAACAGGTCGTGGCATAGTACTGTGAAACCGGTAAAGGTTGCATTTTCAAATTCTTTTTCCCGTATATCTTTACCCGTGTGGGATATATATATAATAAAAAGTCTTAAACACTAATATTCCATGGTCATAATTTATTATATATATATATATATATATATATATATATAATTATTTATTTAAAATATGATTCCAACTCGCGACACAAGAGGTCTCATGTTTCAAAACAAGAGCCGAAAACTTCAATATAATTATTTGAATTAAATTGAGTTCCATCTTCAAGCGAAGTTTTTTTTTGGAATTTCGCTTGAAGATGGAACAGAGCTCACTTTAACTCAATTTAATTCAAATAATTATATTGAAGTTTTCGGCTCTTGTTTTGAAATATGAGACCTCTTATGTCGCGAGTTGGAATCATATTTTTAAATAAATAATTATATTTTTGCTCTACTTTTGTATCGAGCACTATTTTTTTTAAAATAATTACTAAAATACTAAGGAACTTTGGATTATTTACCTAACCAGTTCCTTCCTATTTTCTATATATTTTACACACACAGATGCATGCGTGTGTGTGTGTGTGTGTGTGTGTGTGTGCGCGCGGGTGTATGTGAATGAAATCAAATATGGATTAGAACGCGACAGAATGATAGGATAAGGATGCGTTTATAAATATTTTAGTAGATATCCGTGTTTAAAATCGACGTTCTTTTTTTCGTTTTAAACAGCGTATATTACGTCTATCGGTTTAAAGATAAATCAATTAACTCTGTGCACACACACCCACAGAGACATACACACACACCCACAGAGACACACACACACACCCAAAGACACACACACACACACACATATATATATATATATATATATATATATATATATATATATATATATATATATATATATAATTATCCTTGTCTGTCACATTCAACGGAAGATGTTTGAAAGAGAAATATATATATATATGAATACTGACATATTTTTAGTTATATCTGAATTTATATATATATATATATATATATGTGTATGTGTGTGTCCGAGAAGATTGTGTCATGGAAGATTGAAGTTTTAAGCAATATATATATATATATATATATATATATGTATGTATGAGCATCTTTATGTGTGTGTTACGATTTCGAATTTTCTTGTAAAAATCAAGGAACCTTTTGTTCAGCTATCTATATGGTGCCTATATATATATATATATATATATATATATATATATATATATATATATATAGCATATAGATAGTTTGAATTTTTATATGCCTAAATTATTCAACCAAAGTTGCTTGAATCATCTAGACATACAAAAAATTCACAACTATCTATTTCATTAGTTTTTGTTTCATCAATCCAGCCACGAAGATAATCTTGGATGAGATTGGAGGTACTTGGCTATTTAAAAGGAATGAGAAAAACTACGCCAACTTCCTTAATGATTTTAATGGCAAGATCAAGAAATTGATCGCTAAATTTGAAGTATTAGAATAAACATAAATAGACATATGTCTAGATTATTCAATCAAATATTCATACATACATACATGCATATATATATATATATATATATATATATATATATATATGAATGTTGTCTTTTTCAGATATATTTTTAGTTATATCTTAATTTATATATATATATATATATATATATATATATATATATATATATATATATATATATATATATATATATATATTAAGAAATGGACAAGGTCCGACAATTTATTTATTAAAGACATTTTATTATGTTTAACGTTGTTATTTTATAGATACAAGTATTTAAGCAAATGCTCTGTTTATGATAAACAGTATTAAATAACATTTACCGGCCTGAATGTCCGAGAAATTTTCATAGAAAATATTCGTTCTATTGTATTCTATATTGTATCTATAAAATAACAACGTTAAACATAATAAAATGTCTTTAATAAATAAATATATATATATACTTTAATTTTTCTATGAGCAAAAACATTTTCAAAAGTTATATAAGCACACTAAAACTGGGTTTTAAAACATTAAGTAAACTTACAAAGAGAGAAAGAACGAAAACTTGCTCCCTATGCACAATTTAATGAACATCACTAATATATGAACTGAACTTCCCTCAGTACAATGCTCGAGAGACACTCAAGATAATGGGTTACTGTCAACAAAATGTTAATGCTGAATTAGGTGTTTCGTGTCGTTTGTATTTTCGGCATAAGATATCTTGGATTTGTATCAATGCAATTAACTATATGTCGTTGCACGTAAGAAAGAATTCTTTGTAAATCATTAAACCGCCCTGGGTATGATGATAAACTATATCCGGCAGCAAGGCCTCTGATCAGGAGGTTTTAAGAAGCGTGGAGCCACCTCTTAATTGCTGGTGTTCCCAGGTTTACCCTGACCTGAGGTAGCAGCACTTGTTAGTGTCTCAGCTATGGGTAAATAGTTAAACCCACAAAATGGGGTCAAAACACTATGAAAGTGTAAAAATATATTTTAATACCAGCAATATATTTTTAGAAGAAATTATTACCAGCAGTAGTAGTAGAAAAATATTACCAGAAATGAAAATCTTGTCGGTTTTAAATGACGCATTAAGGTTGATATACCGTAAAACCAAATCATTAAAAGATACAAATATGCAAAGAAAGCGAACAGGCAGAAAAAGAAATATGAACAACCTGACCTCCCCTGTTTACTAATAAAATATTCCGTTGTTATGGTGACACTTAGACATGTTGTTCGGTTATCTGGTTTGTGATATTAAAAAGAGAATATCCCATTCTATACGAAGGGGTGAGCAAGATTGGTGACTGAAAAATAGAAAAGGACAGATGATTATCTTCTAGGATATTATTCTTCTTCTTTCTCTTCTCGATTTGTTATCCTTTCATTAATAACATAATGGAAATTATTCTGCTTGTTCTAGCTTTATGCTTTCTGAACGAGAACATACTTGGGCACTGAAATTTAATTACAGTAAAATTGCCTGGATCCGAACTGGAGTTAAAGCGGCAAATGACATATAAGCCAGCATTCTACTACTTAAATACATGTGTTAACCCTACAGATCCTGTGGCACAATACTCCCCTGCGCTAGGTGTTGCTGCTGTGGTCTCCGCAGAGATAAAATTGATCGCCCAAACGACAAAGAATCAGGTGTCGTCTCTTATACTATGGATCAGTGGTCTCCAACCGTTTTTATACCACGGATTGGCCTCATGTCGGACAATCTTTTCGCGGGCCAGTAGTGGCACATATGTGTAATTTAAG